AAAAGTTTAATTATTTAATGATATTGGCTTGGAGTTTTTCAATTTATATTATTTATATAATGCATGCAATGATTTTTAAAAAGTGGAAAAAAATGTATTCTAGGTTTGGCCTGACTAATTCTCCTGCAGGAAGTGTGTTGCTGTGGCATTCATTTCAATGTCACCTCAAACGCGCCTCCCGCCCACAGTGCGATCGCCCACACTTGAACACGCAGTATTGCAATGCCGGGCTGCAACTAAGGATTATTATGAAAATAATCCTTAGTTGCATCCCTAATGGCAACGCAGGCGCGTTTTGCATTTGTGCACATATTACGAAAAGCGTGCACGTTTGACGCATCTTCATGATAAGCCCTGGTGTGAAGGGAGACTTATACATAAAAGAAAACCGAGGGAAAAAATCCCTGGAAAATGAAACAAAATTATCTACAACTGATCACCAACTTCTCCCTTTGCCCTGGTTCACACCTAGGCGTTTTTGAGCAGTTCGAAAAGCGCTTTTAACTGCCCAACACAATAAATCCCATGATTTTCAATGGCCCTGGTTCACACCTGAGCAGAAAAACGGCTAACAGGAAAACGTCAGACGTCTGAAAAGATATAGGAGTTTCTTTGGGCAGTTAAAAACGCTTTTCCTCCCCATAGACTTCATTGGAAATGCCCAAAAACGCGCAACAGAAGCATGTTGCATTTTTGTGGGCGTTTATGCGTGTTTATCCGTGCATTCTTCCATTGCGCATAATGGTTTATGAGCTGCCAATCAAAATGCACGTCTTCATGTATGCGCTACATCGCGCATACAAATGTGCACAATGCGTTTATACGCGCATTCTTCCATTGCCCATAATGGTTTATGAGCTGCCAATCAAAATGCACGTCTCCAATAAATCTCCATAAACGCGCAAATAACCGCATGCTGCTAGCGGGTGCACAAACGCGCAAAAACGGTGCTGCCTAGTTGTGAACCAGGGCTTTATGTTTCTCTTGTTATAAAACAAATACCCCTATACAGTATACAGGCCGCCTCCAGGCTGCCATATTTCAAAAAAGCTACATTTACATTTACTTTTCTTTTTGACAGTTTTGGAAAGAATTAGCAGCTGGAGAGTTTAATAAACATTTTGCAAGACCAAAAAAAAAAAAAAATAAGGAAAAAAAATAAAATAATCACGCTGTGGATGAGAAAATAAACCCGCAAGTTGACATACTGTAATTGTTGCAAGTAAAAAGACAAAACAGAAAGTAGAAAATGACTTCCTGTTTTCCCCTCCACGTTGGAAGGTCTTACAGAGCAGGAAAGAGATAGGCCCGAGCATGTCAGATATAAGCGACTGAAGTGACAGCACTTCCTCATTCACTCTCTAGCAATCTGCTACTGCTAACATAACTGGGAAATACCCTGGGAGGGAGGGAACGAGCAAGCACTTAAATCATATCCACCTCCCTCAGGAGGACACACAAACTGCCTTGGATGCGAAGGAGAGAGGTTGTGTTTTCAGTGGCTCTTGTCACTAGTGTCTTATTACTGCCTTATATCTGCTGTGTCTTCTGTTCCGCAAACATACCCGGATCTCAGAGACCCAACATGAAGCCTAGAAGGCCCTCCTGGAAGAAGCTACAACCTGCAGGTAAGTGCAGAGATTGAAATTCATTAATAGTGTGCTTCTTAGCTGGTTCAACAAATCCTAGATGACTACATACCATCTTGGAGGAACAGATTGAATTTATCATGATTTATAGGGCGCCGTCATATACCGTAGCACTGTACAAAAATGCTTTTAAAAAAAGGTTAGTAATAAAACAAATGCATGTAGTAAAAAACAAATATTGTAAGATAAAAAAGAAATGTCCTCTGGTATGAGCCTACCATCCAGAGGATGGACCTGTCACCCAAAGTGAAGGGTCTATTAAATTTTCCTGTATTTACTGTATGTGATTTAGTTTTTAGTTTAACTAGTTTTGTATTATTAAGATGATCATCATAGAACTGAATCCACGGTGCAGAAAACAGAGGTTTTTATAGTACGCTTGCCAGCCAGTACTGAATTCTTTGAGATTTCAAGGGACAGGCTTCCAAAACCTGGGTTGTCCCTGGAATTCAAGGATGGCAGGCAAAAACGTGTATAGTGCACAAATACAGTGGAACTAAAAGTCACAGCAAGTGCTAAGAGCCGGGTCACCAATGTACGAACTGTGTTTCTCAGACCTTTGCTAAATCATACATTATTTATTTACTTTGTGTATATTTCTGTCATATCTGTTTTTGTATATTATGTATATATACAATATTTATATATATAGATAGATAGATGTATTTTTATATATTATTTTTTTCCTTTTTACAATATATGTGCTTTAAAACAAAACAAAAATGTAACAACGAATTCAGTTTGGGTTCCGCATTGTTACATTTTTTTCAGTCTGACTTAACCTAACCATTGATCTGACTACACTTGTGACAGATTTGGTTGAAACATTAGTGAACTGCAGCAAATGTCAGCAAAACATGTATGTCGTGAATGGAAAAAAAAAAGAAAAAACATTTTTCTTCGACAAACGCGATTCCATCCAACCTTATCACACAATGATGTCATTCAGTAGCAGTAAAACAACACAAAGGACAAAGGCCTTGATTCAGCAGGCAGCGATAGCTCTCAAGGGGTGCTGATGTAGATTCTCAAGTGATATTATTATATGTGCAATATATGGGTTGAGAGGCCGCTTATGTGCTTCTTAGGTGTAATCACAAATTGATAAATCAGAACAAAAACCTGTATTTTAGAGTTTTTATATAAGGAATAAAAAAAAAAAGAAATAAAGCATTAATAAATAGAATGTGATCTCCTTTATGGTGGCCACAGACATATGGTTATATAATCATTTAATTAATCTTTCGATGTGACTAAATTGTTTGAATCTGGGCTGAGCTAAGGATTGATTTGGACTCTACCACAACGAGTGGCCATAGTGAAAATGTTATTGATCTCTCAAATAAAACAGTCATAATACAGATCAATTATATGATCAGTTTTCATAAATTGGATTTTTGATCAATACTTTCACTTGATCATAAACGAGGAACAATACACCATGAGAGGTATTTATCAAAATTGGAGCATACAAAATTTGGAGTAGTGGTCTATGGCAGCCAATCAGCTTCTCTCTTTGATTTTCAAATCTTCACTGAACAAACTGAAGAGAGAAGTGGATTGGTTTCCATGGGCAACTGCTCCAGATTCTGTTTGCTCCAGTTTTGATAAATTCCCCCACGTGTTGCAAAAATTACCTTCAGGCTCGGTTCACACCTAGGCGTTTTATCGCGCAAAACGCAGATTCGCATTGAAGTCAATAGAGGCTGTTCACACCTTTGCGGCTTGTCGCATGAACGAAATCGTCTTTCACGCCAAAAGGTGCAGGAGCCATTTTCGGGTGGTTGTTGCACGGTTTGGGTTCCATAGATATCTCTATGCATTGAACAACCAGGCAGATTTCAAAGAACAGGCGCGCAAACAAAGACGCTAGAAAACCACGCAAAAACAGTTCAGCAGCTCAATCGCCAAGGTGTGAACCTACCCTAAAAAAGCACACAGGACTGTCCTTAGTTACTGGCACACTGACTTGTATAGCCATCAAATGGCTGCCTCTTAGGTGAGGACAGGTACACTATAAATACATTATATTGATGTGCTTTAACTTTGACATACGCTACAAGTTACTGTCCGGTAGGTTTAGAATTGTACAGAATTGTAAATGTGTGTAGGCTCACAGGAGATCCAGTGTAGTCATAAAAATCAGAGAAGGTCGAACAAAACATTGAATTATGGGAATAAGTTCTCATGTCTATGAGGATTGGAAAGCTTCCTTTAATCAATGTTTCTAACATTTGTTTCATTCTAACGTAAACAAGTAGATTGTATAATCAGACTGTAACATGAGCAATCGCCCTAAAATTATTTATTTTTTAAGAGACGGAATATAACTTCCAATTTATAAAATGCAATCTGATATTTATATAACAATTAGGAACACGTGCAGGGTGATGCCAGCACAATCATATGTCAAACCTTAGTAATCTTAGAACTATTTTGGGTGAGCCAGTCAGCTTCAGGTAGAGACACATCAGACATAAATCTAGGTCAGCAATTCAGAAAATAAGTAGGTCAGGAATGCAACCTGTGATTGTAAAGCTAATTACAAAGAACCTCTTTTTTTAATCAATGCTTCCTTCAATTGGAAATTATTTCCTTTTTTTTGGTGTTATTTATATGTAACGTGGTAGATACATTGACACAATGACACTGTAACGTGTGATCATCTTAAAATGATGGAAAGCAGAAATCACCAGCACTCAGTAAATATCTTTGATGTCCATTTAATCGGACCAATTGTCAATTGTCATGTACAAAAAAGCATATCATCTAAAAATGATGATTTTTTTTTAGTGACGTGAAACAACTTCCAATTTCAGAAATGCAATCTAACGTTTATATAACATCCACAGTCACATGCAGGGTGATGCCAACACAATCACATGTTGGTCAAAGCCTGAGGACTATTTTGGTTGAGCTAGTCAGCTTCAGGTAGAGACTCATCAGACATGAATCAAGGTCAACAATTTATATTAAGATAAGTAGGTCATTAATCCATATTGTTGATCAAGTTTCACTGGGTGGTTTATTTACCCAGAAACTGACTGAGTCATCTCCCAATTATATTAAGAAGAATCCAAAAGGCTCAGGATAAACGGAGCATTAGTCAGCCATCTTGGCGTAGCTCATCCATCTTGAATTTACAACCATTGCACTGGAACCTGGTGTCTTTCCTGCAGAAAACAACAACATTTTTGGAATATTTATCTTAGAAAATTAACCCTTAATTATGATGGCATCTATTGTGCTACAGTAGAGCACCTTTGAAGGGTGACGCTAGAACAGGTGTCCCCTTTTGAAGATCTCACAATGCGTCTTGTTCTGGTGACAACTGAAACATTTTGGCATCCCTTCACTTTCTGTATTGGCGACAATGGTCACCATGTCATATAGAGTCAATCCCTCCAGACGGGTCTCAAAAAGGATTGAAAACCTGACATTGGTTTTAATTGTTCCGCACCCTATCCAAAACAGACAAAGGAGACCTCTGGCATTCTACCCTAAAGAAGGACTCCGGGAAATGTAAAAATTAAAACTTGCAGTGGGGTTACCCCTCGCACTGCAAGGGTAAACAGCTTGTTTCGGGGTAGGGGCTACAATACAGAAAATGTACTCACCTGATCCTCGGTCCTAGACTAGTCCTAGCAGCCTCTTCTCCCCCAGGCTCCAGCACTCTGATGCAGTTGCATTAGACTTGAGGACATTGAAGGACATTTCAGAGCAGAGGGGGAGAGAGGTGAGTGGGCACTGCCACAGGACTGAGGATCAGGTGAATATATTTGATTTATTTTAGCCCCATTAGACCAAAATTAACAGTTAACCCTTGAGGGGGGGGTAGCGCTACTGCAAGGGTTCATTTGTACATTTTTTTGCATTATATTACATTTCAGTTTTTTTCAATGTTTACATTTCTTGGAAACCAAAGTCATCCCTCTTTTTAAAAATAAGCCCTCTATTGCAAGCACACTATCACTGTTACCTCAAACCCATTGGGGCACAGCTGGCGTCTGGATTGCCACTGTTACATCACTGGTGACCCTGCACTTACTCTTGAGTATGTTGATCGAGGGTGTAATGTGTTCCTTCCCTATGTTTGATGTCTGCATCCTATAGATGTATTATACTTTTCTATGTTGTTTTATGTACAAATAGCAAATAGCAAAAATAAATAATTTATAAAAATAAGCCCTAATGTGTTTACATTAACCTCTCGATTCCATAAAGTCAAATAACCACGGTTTATTTTATTTTCAACAGAGAAGGAGATCGTGGCCGAAGTGGCCAAGCAGCTGCGCTTGATGGGAGATAAATACAACTTGAAGCAGAAAATCCTGAATGTTGTGACCAAGATTCTGTCCCCAGGAACCTGATGGGCTCTAATGATGAACTAACGATTATACAGGAAAAAAAATAAATTCAAGCAAAAATAAAAAGTCATCTTGGAGCACCGCAATGGCGTTCGAGGGAGGAAAATACGAGGTTGCAAAAAAAAAGTTCTCACAGCAGCTGTGGTTTTGGTCTCGGAAGCAAGTGATCCTTTGCGGGATATCGATACTGGAGAGGAAGAGTTGACTTTGCATTTACAAGCCAACTATGAGTTGTCAAGGCTCAACGATACCGGAGTGTACATAGAATGGCCGTACAAGCCAGACCAAAAGTCACCTTTGTACATAAACACTACACAAGGAAGCCTAGCAACCAAGAGTCCGTTGACTCTGCAGTGAAGTAACGCCCTGTTTTTACAGCATGGAAAACCCTCCTGGACTTTAACCTGGAGTTCATCGTTTTATGTTTACTACTTTTCTTTCCAGTTGTGTCACATTTCAGCGTCTGAATACACTCGTTTTGTCGGCTTATAAACACAATGTAGGAAATGTGCGCAAAATATAAAAGTGACGAAACAGTTAGCACTTGTCACAAAATATAAAAAGTTCAATCACTGTATGTCTATGAGCATTCTACAACTTATTTATATCAAAAAGTATCTATTATTTTGCTTTCCATAAATGTATCATTTCTGTGTTATGATCTGTGTGCTTTTTTATAATACACAATACACAATCTACTATTGTTATTTAATTTTATAAATGTTAATATTCTACGTTTTCTCATTTCTTGTGATATTCTGTTAAGCACTGAAGTCGAAATAATAATGATACAGGAGCGTTTTTTTCTGTAAAAAATAAATCGAGGCAACGAGACTTGCTGTGTTGTTTGGCTGGTCAAGGATGACCAGTGAAACGTCTTCAAGAAAAATACAGCAAGCCCAATTCCCTTGATTTTTCACAGATATACCATGATTTGGATGAATGAGAACCTTCACAGACACATTTTTATAGGTTTGGGTTATAGTACAAACATTGTCAAGAAATGTTATGCTTACTTGG